AACTCTGCTCCACTGGCATAAATGCAATGAAACCTATTCCAATGGTAATTCTCAGATAAAAATCCTCAGTCTTTGAAGGCAATTCACACAAAAAATGAGTCAGTTTCCAACTGATAAACTCAGCATCTCTTCTTTTATGTCAACTTAAAAATTCAACCCAATTAAAAAAAAATATTTAACAATACCTTTAGACTGATCACATTTCATAGCCAACATTTTCAGTTACATGAAGGTAGCAAAACACAGTGCCAAAAATCAAAGTCACAGCCTTTGAGCTCAAGAAATACAGAACAGTGCAAAACCACTTGCAACAAGACAGAGGAAATTAATCAAAACCTGTGAACAGATGGGAGTCAGTCTAAGATTGTAACAATGCTTTATGAAGGGTCTGGGCAAGGGAAAAATATTGCCTCACCCAGAGAAAATGCCTGTGTCTCTGAAAGGTCTCCAAGTGCTATCTTGATGTCTGTCCACACTTAGGTAGGCACAAGAGCTGCACAGTTTTGAAGAATCCTATTTTGGAAAATGTGAGATCTATACAATTTAAACACAGCAATCTAGAGGTTGCTTACAAAGCAATTTAGAAATGCTAAACCACTTTCTCCCATACCTTGTTAAGAACATTGGTTTGTTTATTTCCAGTGAAATGATACTTGAATCTTTTCTGAAGAGGATTCAGCATGATTTGCATTGGAAGGATGACTGGTGGGGAAGGGGGTAAAGGGTACTTTTCTGGCAATTGCTTGGGTTTGGTTAACAGCTCATCTCTAAGATTGACAGTCAAGGATGGATGTAAATGTTGAATTACCCCAGCATCATCATTTCAATATGATAGGTTTATAAAAATGAACACTGCTTAGTTCTACACTATTGACTGAAGGCAGTACGATGAAAACAATACAATTCCTTATAAAAGATACTCAAAATATTCCACTTTATGTAGTATTAAATATAACTCAGGCCTTTAGGGTTTATTTATTCAATGACAATACATGTTCCTTAAGCCTGTTTGATTTAGGAAACTTGTAAGAAGCCAGCAAACCACCACTGTCAGAAACAAACACAGTGGCTGTCCAAGAGCCACACTTATTCATATTTGTTAAAGGAGGACAAAGACTCCTGGGATTAATAAATGCAACACATGAATTCCCATTTTCATCTGATGGATTTAAGTGAGCCACTCTGCCAAACCAAAATTGTTACCAACTCAGGATTGTGCACAATGGCCTTGCATCTTTCCACTATGTGATTTAAAAAAAAAAAAAAAAAACCAGCCACAAGCCACAGTCACACATACACACAAAGGCTTAGTTGAGCTTTAGTTTTAACTGATCTTTTGTGAATTATTTCATTCATAAAAATCAGGGACAGAACGAGCAGCAGTACCCTCTGAGGTACCTCAAAGGCAGACTGTGATTGCTGTACAACAGAAATCCTCCTGCAGTCTCCCCTTTTTGTAAAGTCTCCTTCCAAGACATGTATGTTTTTCCTTTTTAACTTCTGGGGCGGGGCATATTAAAGTGATTAAAGGTTATTTCACAGAAAGGTATAAAAGGAAAACCATTAACTGTGTCTAATAAAACACACAGCACCATTTTTTCATTAACATGCATGGGTAATGGTTCCAAACAGTGTAAGGCCAAATCCCCATGCAACCTACACTGTCAGCTACCATGAAAGCACTGGACCTGATGACTTGGAGTTAAAACGTTGCTACTGACAAAAAGTACAACTTCAGCACTTGGCATTTTCTAAATGCCAAAATAATCCCAAATAAAACAAAACAAAACCAAATCCCCACAACACTCTTAAGTTAATACAAAGAAATATAAATTATCTTCTCTCTTTAGGGAGGAAAATATTTTAAATAATTCTCTTTGAGAACATGCATTTTTAAGTTTTTATTCTTGCTAACATACACTGCAAGAATTGAAAAGGATACGAGGTTTGCAGTTTCAGAAGCTGACAGAACAGCATCTCCAGGTTGCTGTACACCTCAGGAGCGTTGGCTGGTGCAGCAAGGCCAAATGCCTGGGACTGAGGTGGCCCCACAAAGGGCCAGCGGAGCTGGGTCAGCACCTCCTCAAAGTCACTGCAACACAAGATATAAACACACTTGGACACCAACTGACAGAACAACACAAAGATGAGGGGGTCACAGTATCTCTGTTACCTTGTCAATTTGTCCTTAAGGATTTTATGCCAGAATTTAACAGTGGATCTCACAAAAGCAAGAAGATGAGAACAAGACGAGTCCTGAAGTTTAATATCCAGCTCTGCCATGAATGCTAGAGTACTGGCTGCCTCTGGAACATTGTTGGTCATCAGATATTGCTGAATGCTATCACTACAAAACACAAAAGGACAAGGCCAAATATTCATTAATGATAACAGAAAAGAATCATTAGGATATTGAAAAGTAAAGACAAAACCTTCTTGAATTTGAAATATTTTAATAAGGGGATGAACCAGGTCACCAGTCTCAGAACACACACACAGCACTCAGAAGTACCTGAGCTCTTCTATGCGAGAAATCCACTGGAGGTAGGCCAGGTGTCGCTCGATCTCCTCCACCTGACCTATCAGCACATCCAGCTCCTCCATCCATGGCTCAGCTTCCAGCAAGTGCCTGTTGATAGACTCTGACAGAGCAGTCTCCTCCTCCAGAAGCTGACTCAGAGACCTTTTGGAATCTTCTGCATTCTTCAAGGCGTTCTGAATTCTTTTAGGGACTTCTGATGAAACTGTAAGTACCTGCATTGACGGAGATGTGTTAAGGCAGACACAAAACCACTGCACTGTGCAGAGCAGTGCCACTGTGTATCAGGCCCACTGATACATTTCACTTAGTTTCAGATTCTCAATCAGTCCTACAGCATGTTCAGAAGAAACAAAATGAAGCAGAAAGATGCTTACCTGTTCCTCTAACTGCTTTTTGTTTTCAGACAGCTTTTCAATCAGGCTGTCTAGCTTCCCCAGGGAATCATAGTCATTTCCAAGTTCTCTTTCCACAAATTCAGAAACATAGTATGGAATGTCACAGTGATCTAGATCTCTAGTGACTTCTTTCTTTCCAACAGCAATGCTTGCCATGGTTTCTTTTTCTGCAATACTGAGTATACAATTTCTAATTAGCCGACACTAAGCACAAATATTATCTATTGAGGAACAAAACTCCATGAAAAGCTGGGCAGTTCAATTTAAACTGAAATTTAAACTGAGATTGAAATATCATATTCATGAATTATACTGCCTTAAGTGAGACAATTTGCTGGCTTAAGTCAGGTCTGATAAAACCTTGCTGACATATCCAACTGGTGATACATTAACTACTGAAGAGAAACACATCTGTTAATTTCTTCCTTCCCAAAAAGCATGAATTTTATTAAAAATAATTCAAGAAAGATGTAGTTCCTACATATATAATATAGAAAACGTAATGAAAACTACAAAAAATTGTAAAATGCAAAAGAAGATAATGTTCCACTTTCCCTTTTCACAAGTTTAGGAAATTTCAGAGTTACCAACTCATAACAATTGTGTTACTAGCAAAGTATCCATGTGGGCCTTACAATAATTTGGAAAGCAAATACATTTAAATCAAATATTGACCAAAAAAACCCCCACACAGTATAACATAAAAGACACTTGCTGATCCACACATTTGGCAGCATCCAGAGAAACCTGACATTGAGAGGATGTTCACAGCGAAACAAAAAAGGCAACAATGACAACTATTTGGCTAGTTGGCAGTTCAATCCTCAACTTCTTCGCGTCACTTTCAAAACAGTATTTAAAAATAAAACCTGATACGCTTGCACTTTGCCTGCTATTACCTTTAATTAAGTTTAAATCCCTATTAAACTGACAGCAGCAGTGAGAAAGCGGCGCCGCTAATGAGCCGGAGTTGCAGAGGCAATAGAGAGCACCAGGATGAACAAACTGGGTGACCAAGGGTGCTACAGAGGAACAATCGAATAAAGAAAGCAGAGCAGTAAAATTCCTGTTTGCAGCAACGTAAACATCATACAGCAGGAAAAAAACTAACCAAACGGTACTCTTTGCATATTTAGTGGAAAGGAGGGGTTACACGATATAGGAACAGGTGTGGGGGCGCATCCCTCCCGCCAGCTGCCTGCTCAGCCCCGTGGCTCAGCACCCACCTGGGCTAGAAGGCCCGGCTCTTCCGAGGGCCGGCTGGAGGCTCTGCGGGCTCCGGGAGGCTGCGAGCGGAGTGCCACCGACCGCGGCCCGGGCTGGGCGGCCGGGCAGCCCCTCAGCCGGGCGGCGGCTCGGCGAGCCCTTCCTTCCCCACCACGGCCGACGAGCCGCCGCTTCCCCTCGCAGGACGGCGCCGCGGGGACGGGAGGGCGCGGGAGCCGCCGCCCGGAGCCCTCAGCGCGCTCCCCGCGGGTCCCGGCGGCCGCGGCGCCGCCCCCGCCGCGTCAGCAGCGCCGCGGGTGACGGAGCGCGGGGCGCAGGCGCGGCACCGCCCCCGGGGCTCCGCTCCCCGCCCGCCGGCTCGGGGCTGCCCCGGCCCGCGCTCACCGGGACACGGCCCGGCGGAGCCACTGCCCACCGGCTCGGGGCTGCCCCGGCCCGCGCTCACAGGGACACGGCCCGGCGAGAGCTGCAGTCCGCCGGCTCTGGGGCTGGCCCAGCCCGTGCTGAAAGGGACACAGCCCGGCCAGAGCCGCGGCCCGCCGGTTGCAGGGCTGTCCCCTCCCCGTGCTCACAGGGACACGGCCCGGCCAGAGCCGCGGCCCGCCCGCTCGGGGGCTGTCTCGCCCCAGGGACGCGGCCTTGCACCGCACGGCCTCCCCGCCCCTCCGCTCGCCGCCGTGGCCGGCGACAGGACTGCAGCACAGGTTTGCACTAGGCTGAAAAGGCCAGGTCTCTTTAGAACAGCTGCACAATGGTTTTTTTTCCCCCAAGAGGAAGGCCGGCTCGTTCCCCGCCAACAAGGGGCAAGGGACAGGCGCAAAGGAAGCACTTACTGCTCAGAGTTTCAGGTTAGTTTATTTTTAGTACCTGTTCTTTAGTACAGGTATTAGCTGGAAAATACAAGTATTTTCTCAATGAAAAGTCGAACTATTTAAAAGAGCTGTACAGCTTTACAGCACACAAAAGCCTTGCTAACAGAATCTGCTACCAGATCAGTGCAAATGCTACCAGCAAAACTCCAGCAATACATATGTTCATCAGTATCTTAATTTTGTTGTAATTCTTCTTTCCCCATGTAATGCATTATATTTGAAAAGACTTCAAGAGTGGCTGAAGTCTTCCTCTTGAAAACATTCAGTGCTTGCCCAAAGAAAGCAAGCTAAACATTCTTCCAAGTCTAATGCCATTATAAGCACAATTCTAAAGATGCACCCATGTTACAGCTCAGGTAACTTACTCATTCAGTAAAAAGCACCAGTCACTAAAATCTGTATTATATTACAGTCACCATCTTGCAAAGGACTACTGAAGTTAAATGATAGCACTAAAAAACTTAAAAAAATACAAATCTCTTACTGTGACTCTTTAAAGATTTGTACAGGACGTGTAAATAAGAAAACACTTTGTTAAAATGAAGTCATTCTGCAGTTCATTTAGCGCAGCCAGGTCGTATTCAGTTGTGTCTGGTTCTTTATGCTTGTGTCCATTTTCAAAACTTCTCGAATCGCCATGGTAGCGTAAGTGGAGGGGGGAAGGGAGAACTCCATCTTTAGTGCCCTGAATTTGCCATCTATTAGCAGGTACAAGAGACAAAAAGCAAGAATAAGTGGTTAAGGTCATATATAATGCTTATTCTGGATGCCATCTAAACTGAACTAACAGCTTCCACAACCAACTTCCCCTGCCCATAAAGCAAAACAACCACCATCATCACACTCCTGTTTATAATCCACAGTGAAAAATTTAATGAAACCATTTTTTAACATTTTCTCTCAGGACAAAGTGGTGGTTTCAGAGTTTTCTTCTTCTAAAAGCACACATTCATTCTTTCAGACTTAATCCCTAGCCTGTCTTCACTTTTCTGGAAAGCAGTGTTAAAACACCTTGTGACCAGAGTTAAGTATTTCAGTCATCTGTGCTCAGCACCAATAATACAAGTTCAGTATATAGACAATTTGTGACTTAATTCCACCTTTGTTAATAGCAGACACTTACTGTTAAGCATTTACCTGATTTTACAGATGCCTGTAAGAAAATGTAACAGTCAATACTGATGCTGGAGAGCTGGTTTGCACCCTTGAGAAATCAGGGTCCTTATTTAGATGCCTGGCCTTAGATGTCATTGCTACCACTGCTTAACAAGCAACAGTTAAATGAAAGCTCTTCCTTAAAGGAGCTTTGAATATGTAGCAGTTGAAAGCAACAGCCAGATCTAACTTCCAATTTGCAAACCAGCAAAAAATCAACTTACCTGTAGGGAGAACTGGTAATGGTTTTCCTTCCAGTTTATCCAGATCCGTAGTAAATAATGGGATTTTAGGATCATCATATGCAACAACCTCCCTTTATAATATACATAAAATGTATTATTATTTTAAATTATTTAGGTTTACACATTTTATATAAATATGTATTATTATAATACTATTTTGTTATTATTACTGCAATTTGGCATTTACAACTGAAATTGAATTAGGCAAAATAACAGGTAGAGCTTTATGTAGAAGACTTGCCCTGGCTTTATGAAGATTATTAAAAAACAATTTTAAGTTAGTGAGAAGTTTCTTTGCATAATTCATCTGTTTGCCCTTGTGTGCTGTCAGAATTTCCAACTATACAAGAAGTATAGTTCATGAAATTAAGGGAAGAATGGTGTCAACTCCCAAGAGTGGCTAGCAGGACTGAAGCCTTTCAATAGTCATCCAAACTTTGAAAGGGCTAAGACACATTCCATGGTTTCTACCATTCATTTAAAGGAAATCCCATATGTAAACATGAGGCTGAAAAACTAACTGGGAAGTAGACAAGCTCAATATTAATTAGTGCTGATGTTTCAAGTATATAAGTATTCCTATTTCTGTGCTCCCTCCTAAACCCTCTATATATTTAATTCTATGCATCAGTGATCATGTCTTTCTGCACATTTGTACAGTTCCCTGTTTAAAAGGTTGCCATATGAAAACTAGGTTGTATCTCCAACAATAGTGATTTAGTAGGGTTAAGTGATACAAATTTTTTTGACTGACAGGTAATTGGAGACCAACTTTCTCACAGCAAGACTACAAAAAAACCCCGTTTTGAGTATTATCTACCATTTTCTCAACATAAGTAATTACCTATGAAGTGTTCAGGCAAGCCCTTGGAAGGAGTGAACAACTAGATAAGATGTCTTGATACTCCTCCACCACAGACCAAGAGAACCAAGGAAGAAATAAGGGAATAGTTCCACTTTAGCTGCATTAAAAACATGAGAGAAGGGCAGAGAGATTCCTTTCTAGCTATGTTTCAGTCTGTGTGCATGTCCCATGGATCAGTCTCATGTTGTTTTGTACTTAAACTCTATGCTGTCAACTCAAGTGTAATTTCCCTTATGCTCCCACTCACCAATTGACATTCTGAGGCCGAATGATAATCTTTCTGTATGCTCCAGAAAGTGAGTAATCTCTGATTTTATGCCTCATGTTGTTGATATCAAGGTTGTCAGCTACCAGCATCTCCTTGTAGGCCTCACCAACTGCAAGAGAGGAAAATATTTAATAGGAGAGAATGTAGTGTGGCAAATTTAAACTGTTTTCATGGATTATTCCTTTCCCTTACATCTAGTACTTTTCAGCATAGATGGGATAAATGCTACACAGAAGTTTAAAATTACTGCAGATCTTATTACCTGTTTACTTCTACAGCTTGATTAGCAGAGGCAGTAACAAAGAATGCATCAAATCAAATTTCAGCTGAAAACAAAATTTACAAAATACTTCATTGACTTTTAAATGTGACATTTAAACTCATATATGCTTTCCAATTTTCTAGACTTCACAGGATTAATCTCAGGTACATGGGGGAAAAAAGGGCCAGACTACCCATTACTCTCTCATTAAAAAGCAGCAGAGAGAAATCAGTTGACAAACTGACAGTACAAGAACAGTTCAATCCAATATCGAGGAAAACGTGCAGGGAACTCATGACTGACCTCATCTATAACACAGAACAGGTGAAACCTGGGGCCAGCTACAAAGAGCAACTCTTTGTCCATGCACACAGAAATGGTGTTAGGAAAGCCAGAGCTCAGCTACAGTTGAAAGCAGCAAATGACATCAAGACCAGGAGGAGTTCAGCTGCAACATAAGGACTGAAAGACTGCAGGGAAAGCAATGGCCTGGTGCTAAACAGGGCAGCTGGTCTAGTGACAGACATCAGGCTGATGGTCTCAGTGTCTTTTTGCCTCAGCCTTGACCAGCAAAGTGCCCCAGGCCTCTCTTCTTAGAGGCAAGGTCAAGAAAGAGGGACTACCAGCAGTTGGAGAAGGGTTAGAGAGGCTGAGAGAGCTGCCTCATGTCATGGTGAAGTTTTTCTCTATCATCTCAGAGATTGTGCAGATCTAGGGATGTCCCAGACAACTGTGGAAAATCAAGTGCTTGCACCCAACTCCAGAAAGAGCAGGAATGATAATTAGGGAGTTACAGACCAGTCAGGCTCACTCTGGTCCCTGGGAAAAATAATGGAGTTAATCCTCTTTGGGCACACAATGACTGTGGTTTTAATAAGGAGGAGAAAAAGAAAAAGTAAAAAACCCACCAATACTACTGTCTTCTATGATGAAATTACAACACCTATGGATGAGGGGAGGTGCTGTGGGAATGTCAATGCAGTCCCAATGCATTCCCACAGCATCTTTGTGTCCCAGGTTAGAACACTACAGTGGGTGGAGAAAAAAAGAAAGGGAGAGAAAAAGAAAAAGGGGAAGAAAAAAAGAAAGGGGGAAAAAAAAGAAAAAGGGAGAAAAAAAAGAAAAAGGGAGAAAAAAAAGAAAAAGGGAGAAAAAGTAAAAAACCCACCAAGAGTGGGTGGAGAAAAAGAAAGGGAGAGAAAAAGGGAGAAAAAAAATAAAAAGAAAAAGGGAGAGAAAAGGAAAAAGGGAGAGAAAAGGAAAAAGGGAGAGAAAAGGAAAAAGGGATGAGAAAAGGAAAAAGGGATGAGAAAAGGAAAAAGGGATGAAAAAAAGAAAAAGGGAGAAAAAGAAAGAGTAAAAAACCCACCAAGAGTGGCTGGAGAAAAAGGGAGAGAAAAAGAAAAAGGGAGAGAAACCCACCAAGACTACTGTCTTCTATGATGAAATTACAACACCTATGGATGAGGGGAGAGCAGGGGCTGCTGCCTGCCTTCAGCAAGGCTGTCAATGCATTCCCACAGCACCTCTGTGTCCCAGGTTAGAGCATTACAGTGGGTGGACTGTAAGTGGGTAACAGCTGTCTGCCTCAGCATCTCACAGTACAGTCACTACTGACTGCAGCTCTACCTAAAAGCAGAGTTCCTCAAGGAACTGAGATGTGTCCTGTGAAATAGTGGAGGAGAGCTGGAATTCACCCCAACCAATCTGTGGGCTAAACCAAGCTGGGGTGGCATTCAGTACATGCAAGGAGAGGACTGCCATTCAGAGGGACTGAGGCACAACAGGAATGGGCCAAGAGGAACCTCATGAAATTCATCAAGGACAAAATCCTGTACCTGATTAAATCCTTGCAGGGGTACAGGTTAGTGAGAAACTCTGCTCTGCAGTCATCTGGGATTCCCAGTGGGAAGGAGACTGAGCAGAGCACCCTGGCAGCAACAAAAGGCTGACATTAATGTTTTAGAGATCTGAAGTGATGTATTGCTTTAAAAGTCACCAAGGTTGAGTACATCCAATCTTCCTTTAAAGAACAATCTCAAAGAAGACTTATGTTTTCAGAGTAAGCACTTCAGTTAACAGTCAGACTTACTTTTATGCTTTGGATAAATAACATCAAATCCAGGCAATGGCATCACTACATCATGGATAGTGTAGTTATCAACATCTCCTTCTTCAATGTGAACAGCTGTGGCTAAAGTCAGGACAGAAAAATGAAGTTACCAGTATAGAGGATGCCTGTGACAGTGAACTTCAGCTAAATTTAAAATAAAGCCTTTGATTGAAATAAGCTTACTCTGAGAAAGATAACTACCATGTTTTATCTCCACTTAACAGACAACATTTCTAAGAAAAGAAGGAACAGCCTCCAAGGCTGTCACAGTTACTGGCAGAATCACAGCCTAGCTTCCAGTGACTTGAAACTACATGAAGGAAGGACTGCAAGAGGAACAGCCCCTTCCATGCACCAGGCATACATAAAGGAGAATGTAGGAAATGCCAGAGCAAATACAAGCAAAGAAAGTTTTAACTGAGTGGAGCAATCAAAAACTTTTGAAGTAAAAACTTCATCATGTCCTTCCACAGTCCTTCACAGCTCAACTAGGATTGAGGTCATTTTTGAGAATAATCAGTCCTCCATAGTCTCTCTTCCCTATCCAGTTATTTGAAAAAACAGGCTAACAAACAGCTCATGGAAGTCTAATACCTAACTTCCAATCCCTTGCACAATTTGTCTAAAACAGGCCTAGGGATTCAGCTATCACTGGGCCAAAACTGGTGAGAGAAAAGAAGCTATGTAAGCAGTATCAGACAAACACTGACACAACACAAACTATGTGCCTTGTTTCCCTAGCAATCTGAACTATACAGCATCACTGGCTTTGGCTGATTTTACCTCCTTTAAGTATGAGATCTCCTGGTACAGCTTTAAGCCCATATTCTTCTATTCTCTTGCTCACCATATTATTCCACACATAACTCTGGTAGCTGTGAATGTACATTAAACGATTATTTCTTGGTATCTAGAGGTAAAGAAAAAAAATTAAACACTAGATAAATATATTAAACATTAGATAGAGGTATTTTTTGGTTTTTCTGACAATCATAACCAAAAAGGTGTATATTTGAAATGTCACCTTATCTGGCAAAAAGGCATGCACAATTTCTTGATATACATTTCTTTTTTTTATATTTTTGATATACAATTTCTTGATTTTTGTTCTATGTTTGAGAAAAGGATATGTGAAGAAATAATGCTTTTACACATTTGAAATCTGCACAAAAAAGAACTGTGCTTAAATTTACAAAAAAAAACCCCAACACTTTTAACTCTACAGGTCAAACATACAGGTCTATTATAAAACACTGAATTCATATTCAAGCTCCTGAAATCTTAAGTAAATTCTGCAGCTGTGAAAGCACTGTGTTATTCTAATTATCTTCTTCATAAACAAGAAATTATCCCCCAGATCTTACAATGGGCCCAGTAGTTTGCTAGTGATGAGGTATTTTCTCCAAAGACTTGATCTTGATTACAGCACTTGAAAATGACAAGTGGATCCATCACCTCCATATCAGGCTGATTCATTAGCCCACCATCAGTTTGATTTATACTTTTAAAGCAACAGGAAAACACTGAAACTGAGCATTTGCACAATTCTCAGATCTGTATTATACATAGCTACTAAGTATAGCTGTATTGCTGCCCACATACCAGAGAGACTGTTGTATAAATTGGAAAGCTCATTATGCATACATTAATTAGAGATGTCTTCAGTTACTCCACAGCAGTACTTCCAGCAAAAAGGCAGGATAAATGTAAAGATTTTTAAACTTAACTTTCAACTCATCAAGGATCAATGAGTCTATTTTAAATTCATCCTGATACCATCAAAAGAATGTTTATTCAAGTAAATACCACCCAACTTTTACACTCACTATGCCAAATGCAGAGATTATGTTCTTCATTCCATACTTTAAGAGTCCACGTAGAAGCTGTCCTTCCACGCACCTTTTTACAGGCAGTTTCTTGAGGGCTGCTGCTGGATCTTTAGTCTTTGCCCATTCTTCTCTGCATTTCACTAAATATCCCTTTTCAGCTAGAACAAGGATGTAAAATGAAAACATTTTAACTATACACCAAAAAAAGCATCCATCTCACCTTTTGTTAAAACAGTTGAAAAATTAAAGTTTCAGTCATGGTGATTAGAGATGAACAGAATCATAGAACACTTGAGGTCACATGGAGCAAACACTAAGTATTCAGGTCCCTTTCTAGCCCCACTGCAAGGAATTGCACAGCAAGGAAAGTGAGGCAGAAAAGGAGAGTCTGAAGATTGCTTCTCCACTGCTAAACTGGCTCAAGCTTTTCCTAAACATATGCTTATGGAGAAGAGGCAGAAACACAGGATGTATCATTTTTCAGTTCTCACCTCCTGGTCGTGGCTTTAATATCAAATCCATTACTTCATTCCAGTTGTTCTGTAGAATAGCTCTAGGATTCAAACAGGAAAGTGTATTAAGAATTGACTAGAATTATTTTAAAAGGATTTAGCCAACTTATCCAAAAAATATGTATTAGTGTTTAGACTTATGCAATATTAAAAGTAGTGCTATTATGCAAGATAACTGCTGAAGCAAGTTCAGAAACAAGATCTTTCTTGAATCTAAATTTAAAACTGGTACAGGCAATATGTTAGAAAAATGTTCCCAAAAATACATTAAGTTACATGGTGATAAGAGTAAAATTAAAAAAAAAAGAAGGGGGGTAGGATGAAAGCAACACATACCTGCCAATTTGATAAGTAGGAACAGCTGTGGTTCCAAATCTTTGCATTCCATAGTAATTAATAAATCCAATTTCCCTGAGTGAATGCATTGCTTGCTCTATCTGCTCATCAGTTCCTGTTATGTTTCTAGCATTAAAAAAAAAAAAGTTATAGACAGATTAAGGGTATATGCTATTTTGAGATGCCCATTAAAGTTCAACATTAATTTAAATTAAAAAAAAACTTCTTTATCTATTTAAAGAAAAAAACCTTTTAACAGAACCATCTAAATACCTACTAACATACTACCTGAGAACAACAGTGAAATGGTTCCCTTGCAGTTCTCCCAATTTCAGTGGATGGTTCTTGTAACTGAAATTTCCTAATTTGAAGTTCATCAAACATTTATTCAAATGAGCAAGTCTTTGTGCAGTGATTCTAAAAAAAAAAGACATCAGTGACCAACCTATGCTTAGAAAAGCAGATAAATACAGAAATACTGCCATTACAAAATGAAAAACAGTGAGTCCAGTTTCCCCAATTTTCTGCCTTTTCAAAATACTTTAATGAAAGAGCTAAAGGAAGATAATACATAATTCTTAAGGGTACTCACACAAAAGAAAATGTATACTGTGACAGACTGTTAGCACTGTCTTTTCACATCTATATTGCAGTATTGATGTACACTGTACCCCACAAGCTGAACTCTGCATAATCTGAGTAACTATTTCATGAATACATACACCCCAGTCAGCACAGCTATGAATACAGAGTTAAGTAAAATTAGCTACTGTGTATGCCTAGAGCAGATGAAGGAACATGGAATCCAACGTGTCACTGATCTGCCATTTTTGTTGCTGGTATTTTTGGAAGCATACCCTGTTCTTTGCATCACCAAGCTGCTCTTGGACATTTCTGCTGAATTTTTACCAGGATAGTGGAGCTTATGAAGCAGCATGGCCAGCATACTCAGCTTAGAGCAGGCTGGCAACTGGCAATGTCCCCTCCCCTGTGCAGGAGAGCCAGGGGCTGTGGCACCACGGAGCAGACACCACACAACACCTACAGCACTCTGGAGCCCTTGGACACAACACTGAATGTGATAATGTTAAAAAGTAAATGGAACAGCACCTGAGATGGCTACATCACAAATCTGGTTAACTGTCACCAATTTGCAAAGCTACCTTGCATCAACATGAATCTGGGGCCTCTCACAATTGATAAATCTGAATTTCTTTTTATATATGTTAATGCACACACATACAGAACACTGGGAGAAAATATATGAGCAGTTCAGTAGTAGTTCTCCTTTTAACAAGGATTTGATCAAACCTCTGGCTTTCAAGCTCTGAATTCCTCACTCAAGAAGTTTGGTTTTCAGAAAGTTGTAAAAAGTAGTGCAGGTGGGATATTCCTGCCAGCTAAAACAATATTGCAATACATGTCTGGGAGACATCTGCCATTCCCAGTTATGGATCTAACACTAACCTAAAGTGCCCAGAAAACATATAATTATCTTAGAATATGACAAAGTAAATTTTATTTTTCTTAGAAGGTGACTTAAAGGAGTAGGTGAAGGCAGGAAAAACTCCTCATCATTTTTTTGCCCCTTCTGGCTATTCACAGATGAGCAAGGGCAGTGTCAGCCTTCTCTGGCACTGTTCAGAGTACAGTGGGAAAGAAAATAGGATTCTATCTGTAGAGAGGGGGAAACAAAAGCCAGGAAGAAAGTGGGACATAATTTTCACCATGTCATTCTGTTTTTCTGCTGTTGCATGAGATCCAAGCAGCCTAAGAGCAGGCAGGCAATCTGTCCCACTGCCTTGGCCAAGTACACGTGACCAGCCCGTGACTCAGAGCACCACTGACTGAAAATATCACCAGTAATCACAGAATACAAAAGGATTGTGGCATCTTCCACCTGTGCTCTACAAGGTCAGGACCTGTACCTGCCATTTGTGTCACTGAGTCTTTTAGGTATGTATCCAAGCTACCACAGCAGAAGTGCAAATCCTCCAGACTGTACTTTTACTCACCTGAGAACAGCGATCTCTTGAACTGTTATAGCCCTTTTATCTTTAGTTCCCATGTAGGAAAATATGTTTGGCTTCACTCTTAAAAGCAACAGTAAAAGATATTATGTATATTAAAATAGCAAGAGATCAAACATAATTTTAAGCATAATTGCCTAGAATGATTAATCTTATAAATTAAAAATAGAAAAATATACCTACATTCCTCAGAACTGGGTTACAATTTGACGTGTGTGTGACATTTTCTAATCTCACCCATGAGTACATAAAACACAAGAAAACTTCTGTTTTAATTATATGTAGACAATTAACTTTTAACACAACAGTGCTTGCAAAACATGAACTTTGAAGTACTTCTTTATATACATTAACTGGAGAAAGAAATGAACAGTCACCACCAACTTCACTCAAAAAAAAAAACACGTCCACTTCTTCCTTAACTTCAAACCTCTCTGAATACCATGCCTGCACATTATGAGAGACTATGAGAAGTTAATTTAAAATTTGACCCACTCCTGTCCCTGAGAGGAAAATTTCCTTTCCTTTTCACTTTGTACTTTACAGCCTGTGTTAGATGGAGTATTTCCAGTTATGCCAGTTAAGGGCTCCAGGGAGTAGCAGGATTGCCATTACATGCAGTCTTACACCTAACTATGCCCTTGCCATTTTGTTCTCAATACCAATGCTAAGTAGTTCACTGGTTAAGGTCTAGATTACAAATTTGTTTTTTGGACAAGAAGGGAAAAGTGGGGAAGTTTCCTTATGAGTAGATCACTGAACTGACCCAATTTTAAAACTGTTCTTCCTCTGCAATTCACTGTGCTCATGTCACGCTTTGGCAAATCTTTTTGTTTCTGCACTTGATGGGGTGAAAGGAACTAAGCCTGTGTTGCCATGGAGAAATTAATACATGGAACAACAGTTTATCAACTGTAATTGCTTAGGAACTGATCAGCATATTATCACAACAATATCTGACAGGTTCATAACATACTTGCATATATTCACACACTGGGGAAAAAATGGCTTTTAATTCATGTTACGTACATTGAGGCTTTCAGCTGCCAAGCCTTTCTCAGATCAGCCAATGTAAATTGAGGACTTTTTCCATTGAAGCAGTAGAGTAGTCTTTAAAATTTCTTAGGCTCATTTTGTTCCATTCTCACCTCCTCACAAAACTTCGATATTTAACATTTGACATTTTAAAGTAACTTTTCATTTTAAGCTGTCTACAAATTAGAGAACAGCAATCACTTGTGTTGCTCTTACATAATTACGAAGCATAATGTTTGCAGCAACAAGAAACATGGAGGGAGAGGGCTGCATGCCAGCCAAGATGGCAGAAACAACGGCCTTACCTTAAAAATTTGGACAGGACATTGATGGCATCCATAGTGTCTTTGTTCTCCTTGTACAGTACAAAATGGCAGTAGCTTCCCCTAGATTTTGGCCAAGAGTGCTTTCTTGGATCTTTAAAAGCAGAAAGGTTAAAGTGTCACTTTTAAAAAAATTTAATATATTTGCCATTGCAACCACATTTACTTTAAATATGCAAGATACAATTTCTGCTAATTTCCATCTGCTTTAAAAAAATGAAAAGGAAAGAGTTAATTGCTGACAGCAAAAGCTGTAAGGCACATTGAAAATACCTCCCCTTCCACTGGACAGTAAACTTCTCTTTAATCAGTTCTGTCACCTAGAAAATCCTGAATGAAATAGTGACAGTTCCTTTATCATGAAATTATCTGAAAATATTGCCTAGTCATTTAATTGCTGTATCACCTGATTAAATTTCTCAAAAACATTATCATTATACTGACTTTCAGCAACAGAAGCTACACCACATTTCTTCTAGCTCCTTCTATAATTAATAGTTGAGAACCACTGGATTCCTGTTTGTGGGAAGACTACCATTATTATTTATAGTACAGACATATTCTTTATTTCTGTAGTATTTTTTCTGTGTGTCATACAAAAGAATGAATCATATCACTACAAAACCCTAAGAAATCATGCTCAAAAAATTGCTTTAAGATGGTTCTTTTTTAAAATCCAATGGGAGCAAGAAATCTGGTACAAAAGAGACATGAACATACAATCCATGGCAGGTATGGTGCCGTGCTTAGAAAAGGCCAGAGGCTGAAATAACTTCAGATCCCACAGATTAACAACTGATTTACAATTCTGTGCTATTATTTGACATTTTCTGTAGAAGGAAGGGAACTGTCAATGATTTGCTCTTTTTTGCACATTAAAAACCACCAGAGATAAAACTTTCAGTTTCCAATAATCCACTGTCGATGACATTAATGGGAAGGGAGACTGATTCTACAGAGGTTTAGCAACCAACTGTGAGGTTCCTTCAATTCTGAGGTTTATCAATTCCTTGTTATTTAAGAACAAAACTAAGGATTTGTTTTGTTTTAAACAGGAAGTCCCTTATCTCTTGCTGTGACTAAGCAGACATACCTGGTTTTGTAAAAAAAAGGCCTAAGCATCTTTCATAACAGGAAAAGCTAACTGAAAAAGCCAGCCTTATTTCAATGTACAAACACCAATGCAGGAAGGAAGTTCTTGGGAAATACTGATCTTTTTTTCACACTGGTTTTACAAAGTCCAGATATCCCACACAGACAGTAAGTATGTTTAATTCTTGCTTGTTTTTGAGAAGCTGCCATTCACACACACACTTCTGCAAAGACAATTTTGGATGCTACAGTATAAAAATATATATATGCACAGGTTTTAGTCACCTAGAATTATTGCATCACTTGCCTTGCACCATCAGTTTCTAAGCACAGCCCCCCTCCCACAGAGTTTCACTGGACCTGAACTGGAGACCTCATACTCCTGCTGGTCTCCCCTTCTGAGGCAGCACTACTCAAACTCAGTCAATGCAACAGTGCACTCAGCTGCAAGTGCAAAGTTCTCCACTAAGATCTCAGCAATTAGAAGAGAGTAAGGCACAGCTCAATTCACAAAGGAGAACCCCCTCCAGCTGGAACCATTCTTTATATTTAACTATTACATCTTGCACATGGTCATTTCAACACATGCCAAGAAGTGAGCCCTAATGTGCTCTACACTAAAAGGATTCTGTAGGTACCACACACACACACCAATGGGCTCCTCATGCTTTGGGCACCACAGCCATGACCCTATCCAAAGGAGGCTGCAGCCACAGTCCTGATACTCAACCATTCCTCACCCAATACTGCAAAGCATTCAACTGGGTAGACAGAGCAGTGGGACAATCTGCAGTCCTTATTGCTGTGTTTCAGAGTCATGCTACATTTCTGACAATAAAATTGTATTTCCAAGCCTTTTGCTGAAACTCGAGGCTTGGAAGCCTTTTTTTAATAGCAGGGTATGTGATAAATGTTTTTAAAGTTGTATAAAGACAGATAGTAGTGTCTGAAGTAGGGGCTGAAGGGCAAAGGCTTGGCTAACAAATCCATGGGAAATTTACTATAGTTGTCAACATGAACTGAAAAAATTGATAATTCATATCACTTATTACTAGCAGACTTACTCTGCACCAAATGAATACTGCCTATACTGCACTACAAAAAAGAGGCAGAATAAGCCTAATTCTTGGCTGTTTCAGGGCATTTTAAGTGATACTTATGTGTAGGGATTTTTAAGAAACTGTTACAATTTAGGCCAGTCCTGTTGCTATTTAGGAGGTCATAATGGTTGGCATTTCATTTTTGTTAGTATGAAATGTCAACGTCTCTTACCTGTTGCAGTTCTGACCTCTGTCCCAATGCAGAGCATAAAGAGTACAAAAGAGTAGCATTTAATTTTTAGATTGTCAAAGGGTTTTTAGAGGTGAACATGCAGGTTTTATGGTTATGGGATTGTTTATGCTTCAGGGAGCATCCAACAGCTAGGTGGTGGATGACAGCAATTTAGACAATTATGGAATGAAATCGTGCAGAGGCAAACAGTGAACATATGAAAAGCTTCAATTGGAGATGCAACAAACTTAATTTGAGGACAATGATGGAACAACAGTTTACTGACAATTTAGTAATTTTAAGTATTTGGAGGATAAACTGACTATGGAAACAAAGCAGCATCTGATTTTAAATTTTAGGAAGCACGTTTGGTAATGTTTTATGTTATCAACAAAGTAATCAGGCATCTCAGCTAATAATCCAATATTCTACACTTCTGAAATGTTTCTTGCCTGGGGAGTCCATTCATGACTAAAACATGTTTGTGCCTATATAAAAAGAAAGATATATATAATCCTGACTAAAAAGAACTTCAATCTTACATCCATAAGCATTTGCACACACTCACAGAAACTGACACCTCCACCAACAAATGCACAGGTGCCTGCAGCATCACAGCTGGGGAATCCAAGTTTAAATAGATGATGCTTCTCTGCATCACAAGATGGTGCTCCACATTATGTTTTAATCCTAGAGACACACCACTAAATTCTTTTCAGCATGTTTCAAATACTTAAATTCTTTTATATATTATCCCTTAAATCAGCTTAACAACATCCACTTGACTGTAACAGTGGTTAAAGAATAGAAGCAGCAGAAAGAAAAGGTGGAGGAAAAACCATTACAAACGAGCAGAACAAAACTGGCTGAGGAGAATTCTGTGCTGGTAAGTATACATACTCCATGCATAAAGCATGCAAACATACACATTTTCTAAACATGACTAAATAAGACACATAAACACATTATAATTGGACCAATAAAATACAACATTCCCATATTTGCTTATAACAAGCCTTAAACAACTAAATTATAGGGGAAATTACTTTATTCCCCATTTTAAATGACTCTATTTCTTTATCGTTCTTCCATCTCCTTTGTCTTTAAAATTAAAGGGTTAGGTTTACATACCATCATTTGTAGTAAATTGAAATGACAAGGAATACAACCAATTTAAACCAAACCTTAGTATCTTTAGTTAAATGTGCACCATTCTGCAGGTAGATAATCCTCTAAACTTACAGTAGCAACAAATTTTTAGTAACATTAAAAGATGTAAAACATGTTAATTTATTCCTAGTATCCAAAACAGTATTTTGCTAGATTAAAGTGGATAACATTTCATTTTGAAAATCCTTCATGACTTTGACTATTTCGAAAGATTAACTGTGATCTATAATGAATAAAGATGATTTTCTGCAAATATCATTAGCCTTGGAAGCAGAAGTAATAATCATGGTAAGCTATGTTTATATGAAACTATAACTCTGAGTAAACAAAAAGATGCTTGTCTCTATTCAAGTCATTGAGAATTTTGTCATTGGTATTCAAGACAGTGAAGATTACACCATTTATCAATCTAATGTACATTTTCCAACTACAACCTCTTACATCCACAACACACACTTACACACACAGCTAAGATCGTGAAAGTTAAATTCAAAAAATACTGAAAATAAAGTCTCTGTTTTGCCTATTTCCACTGAAGTAGAAGATAATATTCTCTCCTCTAATATGGCTGTATTGGATGAATTATTTGGAAAGAAAAACAAGTAGAAATTTAAATTTAAAGCATTTCTTGTGGTCCTAATCATTTTAGATGCACAGCATCAGCTGAAGCGAAGGAAAAATGAAGTAAGACTACGTTAGGAAGCACACTCACTTGAAGTACTTGCTAACAATTCTTACTTTGGGGATAATTTTAGCATTTACTTTACCCATCTGCTGTGATACTGAAACTCACTTGCCAATGCTTTTTTCCCAGCAGCATGATAAGCAATAATGTATTTCTTTCCATCTCTATCTTCTGTTTTAGTCTCTAGTCCTGGAAACAAGGACTTCACAGCCTGATGGATGATGGTTCTTTTTTCTTTGGTGTCCTCAATTACCTGTGTTAATGCACATACATGCAGAAACCAAATGAATTAATACAAAAGGGGAGGATGCCTTAAAGAAAAAAAAATTAGCTAGATAAGATTATTCAGTGTGTGAATGCTTCTTTGAAACTACCAGGTATAATCCTACTCATCTCCATGTCCCAAATTTAGCTCAATAGTTATTCTTTCAATATATGGAATATTTGAATGTTTAAAAATATCAATGCTTTAATGTCATTTTCTTATCTTTCTTGTTACAGAAAAGCATATTTATCTTCTTTTCTATTAAATCACTAAACACTGACCTTCAAAGTAGTGTTCCATCAGGATAGATGTTTTATGTACATCTCCTTATTCTTTAAAACAATATACTAGAAGGAAAACAAAATACTGCAAGGTAATCTTAACACCACAGCAATTAAAACCTATATTGAAGTTCCTGTGTACAGTCTCACCAAAATCAACGTAACAACTCACATATGCATGAATTTGAGTACATCTGTAAGACTTCAAATAATTAAACACCAAACTGTGTCCAGTTTAGGGTTATCTGTCACATCATGCTCAGACTGCTCTTATACCTTACACACATTAGAAAGGATGTACCTTCTACTCCCTCCCTCAGCCTCTCTCTGCCCCATCCCAAACTTGATATCATTTATTAATTTTACCTCTATGGCAACACTAGTTTCCTTATTCTTAAAAAGCTGGAGCTCCTCTAAACGCTGCTTGTCTTCGTCTGACAAAACTGTAAATGTTTCTTCTGATGGGTCCTAATACATATTTGGGGAGAAAAAACAAACATCCAATAACCCTCATGGAGTAACTTCCAGTTTTTCAATGTTCTTGCTTAAGGAACATTAAGAAGCATAGCTATTACCAAATCTATCTCAGAATTTACCTCATCATCCACTGGAACAGAAAAGTCATCTAAATGGCTCACACGTCCATCTTTGCCTATTTCATGGACAACAAAGTCTGAGTATCTGATAGAAAGAAACATGCATTACATTTGTAATAAAAATCCCACATCACATAAAGTCCTTTCCTAAAAAGCTGTTTGCAGAATTCACTGAAAAATTCTGAATCTGTGTAAATCAATTAACGTAAAACAAACTTAACAACCATGAGAAGGCTGTACCTATTCCCACCCCCCAGAAGGATACCACAAGAACACACAGGCAAATGCAGCAGACTTCTTTGCAGATCACCAAACCCTGCTGTAGTTAGCCTGAGTCATTCTCTCACCAGTTTGAATAAATCAGTAATGCTTATCCTCAATCCCAGTCATTACTGCCAATTAAGACTCTACTGCATTGCCACAATGTGCAATGCATTAACTACTGCATTATCTCTGACACTGGAAATCACCTGCAAAATAAAGTGCATTTCAGGCACTCTACAGAAGGCAGGACAAATTCAGCCTTGCTTATATATTCAGTTGTACAGAAGATTCAAATAAAGTTACTCTGCATACTTTATGACAGCAAAAAAGAATTTTACTTTGACATTTTCGATTCAGTCACTCATGTCTAATAATAAAAACAGCCCAACTATAACAGAGCACAGTTGGTTTGTGTTGCAACTGCTAAATGATTTTAAGCAGCATTTGCTAGCAAAGTGGGAAAAAAAAAAAAAAGAGAATAATTCTTATTCTATCAATGTTGAAAGATTAATAAAACTTCAGCATGGGAAGCTTTCTACTGTACCTCACCCAAGCCCCCTTTTGCCCCTCTGTGCAGATACACAACATATTGGTAGAATTCCTTCCTGAGGAGTGTCCTCTCCTGTATTATCTGCAGCTGTCTAGACATGCTAGTGATGGCTCCATAAAAATGCCAAGAGTGAATTAATAATAGGTGTTAAAAACTAGAATCCAAAAAAAACCCCACAAACCCACGAGTTTTCTACCACATGGCTACCTTTGGCCAACCAAAACTGGCAGATTTCCCAGAAGAAGGTTCAGCACAGACTATGTTTCAGAGAAGGATTACACTAGCTGCTTAATGCTGCACATAAAGATTAAATCCATACATATGTATATATCATTTTATTTAAAATTATCTATGTATGAAGCCAGTATTTAAACACAGGAACTTTTCAATGTGTAAACAAAGCAACCTGAACTGCTTTGCTAAGTCAGAGAAACAGTGATTCTCACTTCAGTGACCTTTTGTATTTGCATTCTGTTTTATTCAAAGCTATTCTTTAATTTAAAAAATCTAGAAGTTTCATTTTAAAAAGCTACTAAGCACCAAACATCTTAATAAATATATAAGGTATACGTATAATAAATTCCACATCCTGAATTTTGAAACTCCCTTCTATGTAAATTACATTAGTGAGCAGACAATAATTTAAAGCCTAACTATCCTTGTTTACAGACATTAGGACAAAAGAGTCAGAGAGATGCAAAGAACCAAGGAAAGAGGCTTTGATGCCATTTTTCAGTACATCTCATATGAGCACTGAGAAGAGGTACAAAAGGTGGGTGTACTGCATAAGGTTTTATGTTTCTGCTACTGCCAGAGAGCAAAGGAAACAGCAAAGCTCAGTGTAATCATGTATCCCTACTCATATAAAGCTTCCTTCTTCAGAGCTCCATTTGACACGAAAATAAATTAAAAAAAAAAAACCAAAAACCAAGAAAACCAAAAACCAAACACACACCAAAAAAACCCTAAACAAACACACAAAAAAACAACAAAAACCAACCCACAATCTTGAAAAGTCCTAAATTAAACCTTTCCTTAGCAGTAAATAAAGTAATGAACCTCACTTAATCCAGCTGCAATCTGTGAGTCCAAAAAGGAAAATGGAGAACTACAGCTGTGCTACACAAGGAATTAACATATGAAAGAGGACAAAGAGTTACCTCTCTTTTAAGATTCCAGAAAACCCTTTGTGAGAGCTAACAAATTTAGTTATGCCAACATCGCTTTCTGTCAGTCCATGCTTCATCATGTCTGCAAAGCTCTCTGGATCTCCATCTTCATCACTATCCTCTAGTTCCTCCTCTTCCTGCTCCTCACTTTCCTCTGTGGGGATTATTTCACTTTTCGTGTCCTCGGGTTGTTCTGTTACATTCTCAATGCTCTGCCCAGAGTCGTTCTCTGCCTTGGACTTCTCCAAGATCTTCTGTCTTTTAATTTCATCTGCATTGGCCACATCATCCTCAGAGCGAGGACGTTTCAAGGATACACTATTCACTTCTACAGTTTCCATGTTTAAGGCACAGGGTAGGATAGGAAGCCCTGGAAAAGAAGAAGAAAGGCTTATTTTCTGTCTAAGAGCAATATCAATACATAGGCACTTCACTCCAAGGACTCTGCCCTGTGCAACTTTTCAGGAAAACCATAAACTTTCTGCAATTAAGTTAAAAATCAAATAAACATTTTGAACACTTAGAAACAAAATGTACTTTGGGAGAAAGAAGGAAGACATTGAGGGCAGCATGCATGCTGGACTACAGCAGAGCAGGACTCAGTGCTACACTGACCACTCTTGCCCACCCTTACCGTGGCTGCCTGCAGCCCTGTGCACACACAGGCTCTGCTGTCAGCAGCAGTTTAGTGCCTAAGAAACTGTTTGTTCCCAAGCCTTCTCTTTAACATGATTACTCTCAATTATTCCCTTCCCTATCAAGATTCCATCTTGCAAAGACTGAGAGAGAACGGCTGAGCTCCCACAAAGCTGAAATCTCATGTCTTTGTTTTCTATGTGCTTCCAACACACACAATGCTACACAGAATTCAAGGTGGCATCAATTCAGCCCAAAAGATAAGAGGGATGAGATATGAAAATCATTGAATCAGTGAGACAAACAAAACAACAAGGAAATTAAACAATCTCTGAGAAGAACATGACTACTCACGCTGGTGGAATAGGGCTCAGAGTTGCAGCCTTTGTGTCAGCAGAACCACTGCCTTCAGATCTGAAAAAAAGAGGAAAATAACTCTTTGAGAAGGTTTTATGGAAAAAATATTATGGAACATATATGAATGCAATCACATATGGACTCAGACAGACATGTTAATAAATACAACTGCCAAAGTATAACCATCCTAGTGACACAACATATTATTGCTATTTAGCAAGCTACAGGGAAGAACTTTGGTTTTATTTCTAAGTGTATAAAAGGAAACCGGGGTTCCTAGAATTAGGCATGGACAGGACCTTTCTTCCAGCATCACCCAATTGGCACAGTGTACTATGGATGAAGTGCAGGTTTTAGGAGCAGGAGGAGGCCATAAACTGCCCTGTGTGGGCCATGGCCAGTTCAGCTGGCTCCACAAACCCACTGCCTGCCACCCTCCAACTCATGCAACAAGCACAGGGCTCCTCCCCTGCTCCAGTTCATCTGAGAAAGGGAGAAGCTGCCAGTGGCAGCAAAGGCAAAAGAAAGCACAGAGGGGACACGTGACAGAGTGCTCAAAAAGGCACAGGGAAGCATGGAGAAGGGGACAACTTCTGTGGACACAGCTGGAGAAGCACTCTTGGAAGGAAACTCTCCTCACTGGAGGAGGGACACTCCTGATGGGACTGACCTGTGGAGGTGCCCACGCTGGGACAGGGACACCCTTGAGGGGCCCAAGGAGAACACTCACATGGGAGCAGAAGAACTGAGCAGCAGAAAGAAATCTCCATATACCAACTCCAACCTCCTGCACTACTACTGCCTTCCCCAAGGGCCAGAGCATGACCTGAGGGCCAAGGAGGAAAGGGGAAGAAAGGAGTTTTCTCCAAGTCTGTGTTTAGGTAGTGGTCTTCATAATATATCACCAAACAACTGGTAATTAAAAGTTAACTGGCAATAAATTAAATTCCCCATGTCAAGTCAATTTTGTCCACAACAACCAAGTTTCTAAATTAATAGGATTTAGCTGTTACTGAGAAATTAATCTAGGCAGGGAGCAGTATTTTAGAGCTACACACATCATCTTGTATTATTTCCCCACCCACTAAATAGCATAATCTACCCAATTTTAAAGGGCATGTTAAAAGAAGTCCCACAACTAACTTGACAATCAGGATTTGCTGGGTTGGTAAGTAATTGTTACAGCTGTTAGCCAGGACTGACTTCATGGCCTGGACACCTCAGTGAAGAGATCACCAGATTAGGCTAAAAAGGCAGGAACAACTGTTTTAGAAACGCCTGAAATGTTTTGCTCAAGTGAAGAACTGAAAATGAGTGCCACAAAAATAAATGAACAAAAGGGAAATAAGGAGAGAGTTAGAAAATTAAGTGCATGTATGGCATGAAGAGTGGTAAAACACACACACAAGAAAGCAGAACAATTAGCAAAACAATGTACCTTCAAGCTGAAAGCACCAATTTTGTCTGTCTTCAAATTCAAATAAAAGTTCATAAAATCCTTCTTTCAAGAGGAACAACACATAAAAGTCATAGCCAAGTGAAGCAATTCACCACTGTTTCCAGACTCTCTTCCCATGTACCAAAATTTACAGAGGCTGGGTTATAAAGCATTGAAGTGGAAATGGCTTTTAGATGGCTTGTATCTTCACACAGCGAACAAAACAGCATTCAGCACATTGAAATCCTCTGAGACACCTGCCAAAGGTAGTAAGAAGAGAAATCTCGTGCTTCTTAAATAAAACTGTAATACCTAGCTATTGATTTATACAGACTGTTACGAGAATTTGATGTTGGGCACAAACACTTCGGAGCTGTCACACACAGACTATTCTCACAGCAGAACAGTGACTCACATTCTACAGAGTGCTATCCTGTGCCCCACGGCAGCCATCGCCGGGATGAATTCTGCAGGATAATTGCCTGAAGGAGCACGCTGAAGCGAGCGGGCACACACTGCCTCACTTGCGCAGGCTGCCAGTGAGAGGCTCCTATTATTTTTTGACAGCTGCTCAATTGTCTCGGCCCTTTTCCTAACAGGTGTTTCTATAAAAGCCAGAATCTGCATAAACATCAACTCTGCAGCAATTTCGATGTTCTAACAGAGACTGAGTTTACTACTACAAATAAAACACTTGACTCTTCGCAACAAGAACCGCCGAGCGATTACTGCTGGCGCGGTACCAGTCAGGCGGGCACGGCGGGGGCTGCAGGGCGCTGAGGAGCCGAGGTGCGAAGCCGCCTCCTCATGAGACGAGGCACGTGCGATTAAAAGGCGGACGAGAGGAGCGCGATGGTGCCGCAGCAGCGCCCCAAGGCCAAGCCTAGCGGGGAGGGCAGCGGCGCTCGGAGCCCGCGGGCCGGGCCGGGCCGGGCCGAGCCGCCGCCACACCGCCGGAAGAACCGCTGCGAGCGCCGAGGCTGCCGGAGCAGGGCGGGAGGACGCGCTGGGGTTGGGGCCGGGGCAGGCGGGGCACGGGGCCGAGGCAGGAGGAAGGGCTCTGCCGCGGGGGTCCCGGCAACACGCGGCGCAACATGGGGGCGGCAGGGGATAGCCCTGCGCCGGCGAAGTTCCCCGAGGCAGAGCCACCCCCCCCCCCCCGGCCCCACCGCGGAGCCCCGCGCGGCTGCCGGGGAAGGGAGGGCACGGCTCCGCCCGCCGCTAGGCAGGAGCCGCCGAGGGGGAGCCACTTACCCGCACGGCGGCACGGGAGGACGGCCCGGGCGTCAGCGCGGCGGGGCGGGCGGCGGAGGCGGCGCGGAACGGGCCCGGCCCAGCCCCGCGCGGGCGGAGGCGGCCCCAGGCTGCGCCCGCCCCCGGCCGGCCCCGCCGCGCTGACGCCGGGCGGGGAGCGGAGCCGGGCCGGGAGGTGAGACCGGGCTAGGGGCTGCTCCTGCTTCCCACGCTTCCGACACCGCCGGCCCGCTCGGGATGCCTGGGAAGAGGCTGGGGTAGGCAGGCGGGGATGTACGGAAGAACTGCAACTGTGCAGAACAAAAGTTTAATATCTAAAAGGCGGCTATAGCCAAAGCAGGGAATCGTGAACACGAGATGAGGCCTTCCTGAGCCTCCTGGCATCTGAAACACGTGGCGCTAAGTGAACATTAGTCCCAGGACCAGGGAATGTACCATTGAAAACCTACACTGTAACTATGCAAATCACTTTAAAAACCAGGCCAGATCTGTGCTGTCAGTCCTTGCTGATACAGTTAGAATGTCATCTTCTACCCGCTTTTCTATTTTAAGCACTGGTGCAAGGAAAGTATTTTCATTAACTTCAACACGTAGATTTGTCCTTATTTTTAAGACCCTGTGTGTCATGTCCCAATCCCAGCCTGTCTCAGACTTCCTCTGAGCCAGGCTATTAATAACTTAGTGTCTCATACTTCTTATTCTCTAGTTGTATTGTATTCACAGTCTTAGTGATGAGACTTACAACTGGTATATGTATGTGGGTAACTTATTTTCTCTTCTCTTGTACTTACCTTCTCTCATGGAGTAGAATAAGAAAGTAACACAATGGAGTACTTTGCTCGGAATTAAAAAAAATCCCAGGTATGCATGAATTCCTCAATGACTAGCTTATAAAAGACCTCATATAGGAAAAAAGAAAGGAGCAAAGATGCAGCTCTCCTTAGGTCTGAGCAGAGAGGGATCTATGGAGATTTATTTTATAAAGCCCTAGGGGATCAAATCTTTGTCTTTTCTACAGAGCTTTAGTTTACCATGCATTGGTCCAACTTTTTCTGTCATGTAACTTCTTGCTTCTATCTTTTGCAGGAGAACTTCGCTAAAATACTTATTTTTCCTCCTCAAAATTCCTACATTAAGTACCTGCTTGTCTTCAAAATCCTTGTCAGTAATTAAGTAGCTTCTATCTTACAACTCTGCTTGGTATGATAATTACCCTTCTCTTAGTTTTCCCTATTGACTACATGTTCATCTATCATCCCCTACCATCAGCTCAGATGGAATTTGGAGTGGTATGAAGTACCTCATACACTGAAGAACCAGCATTTTGAAGGACCTGCAGGTGCTACCACAAGGTAAATAGATTAATAAGATCATTCCTATGTGTTTCCCAAGTCTTCTAATATATTCAGAAAAGTTCATTACTCCTTTCTCAATACCAACAAGATTCTCTGACATATTAAAGAATTGTCTGCCTGTGTCTGAGAATCACAGACAAAATGCACAAGATCACCCTTTCTATGATTCAGGGGCTGGAAAGAGGGAAATGCTCTGAAGGTCTGCTTCAGAGATAAAACTGATCCACCCTGGCAGGTAGAGACCATCAGTAGAGTTCACTGAAGATGGCTTTCTCAGTCACCTCCTGTTATGATCTACCCTTAACATGGTTTCCAAGTGTAAGCTGGCAAAGGGCTCACAGTCATGACCTCTTTCTCTTTCCCTTAGTCAAGCGCTCCTTTTACATACAGAGTTATACTGTAAAATATAAAAAAAAATAATATGTGGTTTGAGCTTGATTTTTTTCCTCTGGTTGGTTTAACAATTAAAACCCCTTCTATTATAAATTATCTAATATATCCATCGGTTGGTATCATTAAAATATTACGTTAATCTCTATTACAATGTATCAGTATATTCCCATAGAAACTTTGTTAAGTGTAACCTAAAGGAGGTTTGTTTTGTGGAAAAAAAATACGAGCGAGCTCTAATAAGTTTGTGATGTCTTCCTACTCTCAGGCTCCCTAGGAGGGGAAATCAGGATAGCAGATCTCAGCAGATGGGAGCATAAATCTAGCTAGGAAGAGAATGCAAGTGAGAAGCATCTTGAGTCAATCTCCTCCAAAGATGCTCGTTGAAAATCTGAAGGTACAAAGTTGAGATGTTCCCAGCCTATAGAAAAAGCTAATAAAATAGAGCAGCAATAACTGCTCTCAGTCTTGTTCAGTTCTATGCCTCCCAGGGGCACAGACAATCAGGCAGGTAAGTTGTAATTTTACACCCCTTTGCACCAGCTGCACTTAACTAACCTGATTTTTACCTGCCGCTAATAGCACCACAGAAAACTAAAACCAAAGAACTATTAAAAGCCTAATGTATTTTTCATATGTAGGTTGTTTGCATTTTTCATGCTTATTTTGAGGCCTTGCATGAAGCAAAAAGTGGGGGTGATAACTCATTACCATGCAAAATTTAAAAATATAAAAGTATGAAGAAGAGATTTTTTTGAAAATACAGAATTTTGTTCACAACGCAATTTCAGCGAGAAGGTTCCTTGAGGAATTTTGAAAACAGTCCAGAATGAATCATACAGATTTCCAAAATAATGACAAAAATGGTTTTCCAAGAAAACAAGTTATCAGTTTATAGCACTTTAATAGGCCATCACCTTTAAGTTGATGCTTCCCCTTTTCCCTTCACCCATTATTTTCTTTTAAATAAAAAGCTGCTTAGTTTTGAAATTAACCTCTAAATCCATTTGTCAATTAGTTGGCAATCGAAGAAAGGTGGAGAAGCATCTTATCTAGACAGATGAGGAGAATTTTAAGCAGAGAGGGTTTTTTTTTTTACCAAGTTTGTTCATATCTAAAAAAATTAATGTGCTCTACAGGCTGATTTTAAAATAAAAATGCATTTGACTATAGAAAATCAACCTTAAGCATGGGATTGGGAGGTAACTGTGAAATACGTTTTTTTACCTTAATTTCACCATTATGCAATTGACTCAGGGGTGCTGTAAAGCTTTGCAGCAGTGTAGACAAAACAGGATGTGATCACCCACAGATCTGAGTGGCAGCCTTCAGCTTTTGCAGAGATGGTAAAGAGCAAACACAATATGAAATAGGGATCTGCGCTGGAGGAATAATTCTGTATTTCTGCCCCTATTCACAATTCTCTCAGAAAGCCTTTAAGGGGTGAAAGACCTTCCTTGTAATTGTGCAGAGGAGGAGGGAACAGCTGGGATGGGACAGAGGCTGAATGAGGGCTGCAGAGGAGCAGGGGTGAGGAGTGATGCTGGGTGGGACCCCCTCTTGCAGCAAAGCTGCTGCCTCACACACAGCAGGAAAAGCCAAGGCTACAAAGGTGGAGGGAGAAATGAGCTCTCCTGTCAGCTCATGCTGCATTCATGGGGAGGCCTGCAGGGTAGCAGAGTGTGCTCTTTACATGCCTGCCTGCCTTGCCTGTGCCTGCTGTCACACTGGGCTTTCCATGAATTATTTTAGCTGCCTTTGATCACTGTCACTGCTGTGAAATTTTGTACCTTATTAAGCTCCTGGTAAAATGCCTGTTTTCTCAGTGCAAACTGCATCTGGCCACTAAAAACTGTTAAGGCACAACATTCATATCAAAGATTCACAGATGTGAAAGTGAAATGGATGGTGGGAATACCTGGGGTATTTTTTACTCAGTTATGAATGACTTTAAACTCTCCTTCCTCATCATCCATACAGAAAATCCTGGTACCTGAGTTTGGCTAACTCGCAGATTATAGCCAC